TCTTTCCCTTTACTACCTACTCTGGGTAACCCACATGTGGGGGAGGCCACTCAACCTTCATTGACTTTGCATCATCAGCCTATTTACATCATTTTTAAAAAACCTTTGAAATTTCTTAACGCACCTCAGGACCCTATCGCCTTCTGACACTTGTAAAGTCTTAAACCTATAACCTCAAAACTCCTCAGGGCGGGCCTGTTGAGGTCCACCCACTCTCCCTACAACACACAGAGTCTACAGATCACTGAACTCAGTGGCAGCTACAGACTTGTTGAAGATCTTACAGCCATCAACTCCGCTGTCCTGCCCATCCATCTCGTTGTCCACAACCCTTATACTCTGTTCTCCACTGTTCCACCCAAGACTATAGAAGAAGTGCATACGACGAGCTTCAATGTTATGGTAGCTGGAAAAAACATCATAAACAGGAAGAGGTGAAGCTGCAAAGCCAGCGAGTGGAAAAGATTTGGTAAGCTGAAACAAGGAAGAAGAAAGTAGCTTTGACCTAAAAGTTGAATGTCTGGCAGTGCCAGAATGTGAAAGAGAGCAAGCTCAACCTGAGGGTCTGCAGCAAGTGGGAGAAGGTTTGGGGAAAGGTGAATTTTAGTGGCCATGGTTTATGATACCTGCAAATAATGAGTTTTTAAGAAGGTTTAAGGAAAGTGGCTTTTATTTTCCTTGGTTTACAGGACCTACAAATAATGAGTCTTAATTAATAAGTGATTTGAAATCTTAAGTTTCAGACCTCCTACCACTTATCAGACTTCTTAGTTTAATAAGTATAATCCTGTGCTTTGGACCCTGTTTCTTTTGCTGTTTTCCTTTTTTTTTTCTTGCAGAAAAGTCTATCAATCAGACCTGCATGGAGCTGTCTATGGCTGGATCCCAACCCATAAGGCGCTTGCCGGACCCTGCCGAAACAGGTTGTTCATCGCCCAGGACCAGCAGGAAGAAATTACAGAAGATAAAAACCTTCGCCTATATCCCATATTATTAAAACGCAGGAATAAAGGGTCCAGCAGTAACGCTATGGTTGGCTCTCAGCTATAGCCAGAATATCTAACCCCTTCTCCATCCCACCCAGCATAATGAGACCCCTCGCCTTCTCAAGAGGTCTCACAGAAACCTTCCCCACTCTCTTTGCCATTCTGCTGGTACCACAGCCCATGGGGGGAAGCGTGGGCTCCTTTTAGACATAATAATTTATTTCTGTCCCCAAAGTGTATTCACACGAGATTCCTTGGTTTGCTCTCTCTGACGTTCTTCACCTTCTCTGTGGCCGCACGTCCATCCCTCTGTCTCATCCTGTCTCTGGCGCTCCCTTTCTTACTTTCGGCCATTCTCTCTTTACTCTGTCTTCCAATCTTCCCTCACCCTGCCCCCCTTTACTCTCATTCCATTCTAAACACCTGGACAGGTGGTTAACTCTAATAATAACTGTTAATTGAAACCCACGCTCTGGGTCCGCTTTCCTTTTATTCCCATTCTAACAGCACCCGGCTGAATGGGATACTTTGGGGTCTGATTTTAAAGGTCTGTCCATTTTTGCAGTATAAATAATACCGCCATTACCATCACCACCACCCCTTCTCCCTCCCCACCCCCGATCATTTCTGACTTTTAAAATTTCAGAATGACTTACTATCAGCAATCACAAGCCTATACAAACTGGCTCTGACATAGAAAGAGCCCTAAGCAAAGTAACATGTCCCTGTGGTTAATCTCTGTACTCTCTCAGAGCTTTTCAGCATTTCCAGAACTTTTGTTACCACTTCCCTGCACCAAATTCTTTCTCTGAGCTCCCTGGATGGGTTCTGTTTGCTGACAGTCTCCTGAATGTCTATTGGCAGGAGTGTAAGGAATATGGGAGCAGTCATTCTCCAAGTGCCAGATGGTCATTTGGCTATACCCACAAGCATGATCTTTAGTCCAGCAGCAGCAGAGTAAAACTTTCTGGATGAAGGGGGAGGCCATGGATCTATGTATCCTGTGACACAAGTTCTTTCTCCTGTTGTGCACTGGTTTGGGGACAGGTAGCCAGTCATATGAAGACACGACCGACAATAGAGTCCTTTGAGAAAACAATTTGACAACCTCTCAAAGCCATCAAGTTTTGGCTATGCCTTGCTCCATGAGCTCCACTCTGATACAATCTCTATTAGTAATGCATCCAAACACAAGGGAAAGGGCTGATATACAAAGACGTTCATTGCAATGTGATTTAAAATAAAGCGTTTTCAGAAACAACTTCCAAGAGGAAAAAACAATAGAACAACGGTAAAATAAACCCATTTAATGGGATATAATGTAGCCTTTAAAATGCTAATAATAGATACTGTGGCAATATAGGAATAACATATACTTCTAGGTAATACAATCATGAGAACATTTTATATGAATTACCAGAATCATATCAGATGTCTCACCAGAAGGGAAAGACTAAAAGGAACATATGAAAACAATAGTTTAACTATGAAAAGCTGAAATGAAGAGATGGACTCTTTTCTCTCATTTCCAGAGTGACTTTTCTCAAATACAGGCACCCCATTTATGTCTTGTTAAAGACACACACACAATAGATAAACCAACCAACCTACCAAGCCAATTACTTAGAAATTATTTACAAGAAAAAACAAGAGACTTCACACATTAAGCTAGTTGCAAACATTGTTTACGTTGACAAATTTAAGCCTTGGATACACCTGGAGTTAAATTAAGATTCCCCAAATCTGCCTATAGGTCATTCAACTCCCCACGCATGTTATCACTTCACCTGAATTTCTTCTGCACATCAACATCTATCAAACCCCCTTTTCCAGGAAAGTGGATGATATCACATACATGTCAGTAAACACGCTGGCCCCTGGGTGCGTTGAGCCTTCTTTCTATGTGGAGTGGATCTTCACTTTCCAGCCATTTTTAAACAGAAGGGAGAGGAACTAAAATCTCTGAGGTAAGAAATTGTTTATTCCCTGCTTCCAGCAAGTCTGCAACCGTGATGTCCAAATTCCACTGAGCCCTTGGTTCGCTTTGGGAGAGTATGAACTAGGTCCCTGGCTACACACTTTGTGCCCCTATCCCACCCTTTGCCAAGACCAAATCTTCAAAAACATTGCTTGCTGGCACCAGATATATAAAAACCAAGGAAAATGAAAACACACACACAGAGAGAAACAATGGTGACCCAAACCCATTTCCAATCCAGTTCGCTTCAACTTTTAAATAAATAATCAAACTCTAACTGCAGAATTCTACCCACAACATTATGGTACAAACCATCAAAGATGAGGCTGGCGCCCACCTTAAGTATAAAAGAGCATCAAGTGTAGACCCTGGAGCTTGATTGCCTAGCTTTCTCTTACATATTCCACTGGTAAGCTGAGGGATCTTAGGCAAATCACTGAACCTTTCTGATTCATTTTCCACATCTGTAAACTGAAGATAGCATATCACATGATTGTTGTGATAACTAAATTATTTTATAGCTAGTACTTAGAATAGTGCCCGACACTTGATTAGCACCCAATAAAGTTTTTCTAATACTGTTTTAAGTTCTCACTCCAAAAAAATATGCATCAGGATCCTTGTGAGCACTTTCCAGAAGCTACTTTATCAACACTGGGCATTAGAGGTACATCTGGGCAAAAGGGTTTCCCTGGATACAAAGAGCTTCATCACTCTTACTAGAACTCTCCTTCACAAGGTCCAGGATACATTAGAATTTCACAGGCACAAAAATGAGCAAATCCTAGTTAAAGAAACAACCAATCAAAACACTAACTCAACTCTGAACAATCTGGAGTCCATGCCTCGTTAGAGAAACACAATATCATCCAAACCGCTTTGCAGCTAGAAATTATGTAGAGTGGAGATTCTACACATGGGTTTGGGGGAATACCTAGGCGTGGTTTGACTGTCCTCCAAAGTCAACTAAAGCTCCCCTTTCCCACTTCTGCCCTTTCAATTGTCTTATTGCTGACTGACTGATGATTTCCATAGGCAGACTTCAATCTTCCTTTAGTCCCCAACCAATCCAGACTGAAGTCTTATGTCCAGTTCAGCCCCGTTAGCCTATGGGGACTGAAATGAAATCACGCCTGGGAGCCATCACCTTTGTTGAGTTCCAGCATGGTTTTTTCAGCCTTCTGGCCATTCACTAAACGCACCACTCTTTATAGACTGCCCATTTCTCCACAGACCCAGATTTTTTCCTGAGTCAGCTCCTCTCGCACGATCCTAGTGTATACTCCGTCAGAGGGCTGCCTTCCAGTTTTGATCCTTCCTCCTCAGCATGGTCTAACACCACAGGACTGACTTGTGGTCACAACTACAACCTAGTCGTCAGGGACTTCATGGAATGTTGTGCTCATGTCCATCCTCCCGCTGACTTTCCCCAAGCAAGAAAGTTATGGAAGGGACTCTCATTTTTTGAGTCCAGTCCATCTGAGTCACCTTTAGTTCCACCATACTTCCTCCCTTGGAGCTACCGCTCCTAGACTTCAAATGGTGTCGTTGACTCTTAAGAACCTGCCTTGAACGTACTGATCCCTGGAACCAATCTTTGGGCCATCAGCTTTCTCACACCACCCAGTCTGGGACCTGAGTTCATACCTGTCCACAAATCTCTTGCTGCCTACCCTTTGCCAATGACCCAAGGCTTCACACAGGTGTCATGTTCAGGTATTGCGCTGGTGACAAAAGGGCAAAACTCAGAGAAAGGGAGGGGCTCCCGGAGGGTAGAACAAAGAATATGTTGTAAATATAAATATCTCTTGATACGTAAAAAAGGTTTAAGCTCTCAAATTAAGGGTGCATATGTCAATATCCACAACATCAAAATAGCCATAGCAAAACATCCTGAAACAAGCAGGAAAACAACCCCATTCATTTCTAGAATTTTCCATCTCATTGAAATACACCACCCAAAGACAGGCAAGGTCAAGACATTTTTCAGCTAGCCCTGTAGGCATGCTTCTGTCCACGTCGTTGGACATGCCTACCTCAAACCACTGTCCGTGGCTCTGCATTTTGAGGATGACACACGGGTCTGGCTTGGAAAGGGCATCTCTGTCAGAAATCCCTTTGCACGCCACTCGCAGCTCCACTTTGGTCAGGCAGGGGCTGTTGAAGATTCCCAGTGTGTTGGCAGCCGACTCGTAAATGTTGCTCATCTTCTTCATTCTGTTGGAGGTGAGAAAAAGAAGAAAAAGATGTGCCCATCACTGCGAGGTTTGGGAGAAGAGAAGGTTTCTAAATCACCCTTCAGGAAATTGTTCAATATGCAGCTTCAAATATTGAAGGTATTTATTATCTCACTTTCCACCCCATTGGCACAGTTCCAATGAAACAAAGCCCCCCCTCCCAAAAAAAGACAGGTGCTGCTTGGTTAAGAACACTATTTTCCTATATGATTTGCATACATTTGCATAGTAAACGTTTTAGTCTGTGAAATAAGATGAACTCATGCAATAGACTGCAAATTGTAATCTAGTCCTGTAGTAGATGCATGGCTTGTGTGAAGTTTTTACAGATCTGTTGGTTAATCAATTGATTCATATCTCAAGCTTTCAAGAGGCCCCGAAAAATCCAACTCCTCTGTTGTGTGATGCAAAAAACCTCTGCACAATCTTAGAAAGCAAAGATGCCACTCTGACATCTATGGACAATGGAGAGTCTTGTCTAAAGAAACACTTAGAGTCGCCTTTCCTTACACTCCGGCCCACCTATCAACACAGCGTCAGCAAGCCAGTTCCCAGAGAATGGCTCCTTATCTGATTCCCTGCCTCGAATGCAGAGAATCTATTCTCAACTTTCCTTTCGTCATTCCCACTTGCCACATTAGGGCTCAAAAACCAAAAGGGGGGAAAAGGGGCTACACAGTTTGAGAGGAAAAGCGTAGTCTTTCACTCTGAAATCATGGAAACCATGGCCAGATAATATGAGGGAGCTTCAAAAGGTTCATGGAAAAAAACCTACCATGGTAGTTACATAATGTCTTGTCAATTTACAAAGGAGTGGAGTCTAGCCTGCCAATCAGGTTGCAACTTGATGACCTCATTTGGAGGCGTGAAGGAGAGAAATAGCTCACTGGAGGCCAGAGGGAGTCACTCTCTGCTTTGTCTTCCTGCTGACAAGCCACATGGGGCTATGCTGATGGCAGCCAGAGCCTTGGAGCTGGAGGAGCCACATGGAGACCCACACCAGTGCTAAGATGCTTCCACTGGATCCACAAGACTTTGCACCCACTGGCCTGTGATCTTCCTGCACTCAGCACCATTGCATGTGTTGCATGAGTCTGAGGAGGAACTTACAGACGGGTATCGGACACATGAGCTAATATCAGACTTGTTCTGAACTGGGCTGGTTTGTTTGCTCAATATACAATAGTGCTTTTATATAAAGGTCTTTCTTACATACATGAGTGTCTATGAATTTGTTTCTCTAGTCCACCCAGACTAACACAGTATGGTACCGGGAGTGGGGTACTAGAGAAACAAATCATGAAGATGGAGAGTGGACGCTTGTTTGACCTCTGCCTCAGGGTAGTTTTTCTTCCTTGGCTAGCCAGAGGTCAGCTATGTCCATGCAGTCTAATGGGTTGTTTTCTGGAAAACACATGGGAAGTTAAACTTTTGATCACTTTTTTGTGGTTGTTGCCTTTGGTGAGTCCTGTTTGAAATAACAAAAATGGATGTTGTTCTTGTATATTTTGAGCTCAGGGGGCAAAATCACTGTTTGAATTTCTCAGAGACAGTGCTGCTTCATGAAAAGAGCGGACAGCTTGAGGCAATGCAGCCAAAGGCCTAAGCCATACTTCATATTGATTGAACAGTTTACATAGAATATTAAGTGTAAATAAGGATTTGGCACATATTGAACTGTATGCATTTTGGTTTTAGCCTGTTAGGTACAGATATGATTTTACAATTGTTTTGTTTAAAAAATTATATATGACTAAAGAGTTGTGTTAAAGTGTCAAGTTGATAAGGAGTGGTCTGTGGTAGTCATATAATCTCCTGTCAGCTTGTGAAGGGGTGGAATCTAGCCTGTCAATCAGGTTCCAGCTTGATGACCTCATTTGGAGGTGCAAAGGAGAGAAGTAGTTCACTGGAGGCGGGACACACACTCACTCCATGTGAGACATTCCTGTTGACAAGGCACATCTTTTCTCCGTGTATCATGATGTTCTCTATTGGTCTAGTTGTGAGGGTTCTACTGTTCTTTACACAGAGTTGTAATTCATACTGAAGCCTGAACTCCTTAGTCTTTATGAGCAAGTATTCAAGCCCTTCTCATTTTTATAGCAAGCAAGGTTGTGTCATCTGCATGTTACAGGTTGTTAATAAACCTTCCTCCAACTCTAATGCCGCATTGTTCTTCACATCGTCCAACTTATCTGATGATTTTCTCAGCATATAGATTGAATAAATATGGTGAGAGATACAGGTCTGATGCACACCTCTCCTGATTTAAACTGTACAGCTTGCTCTTGTTAGGGTTGACAGACTGCCTCTTTTTCTGTGGACAGGTTCTGAATTAGTACAACGCAGGGTTCTGGAATTCCCATTCTTCTTTATGTGAATCCAGAGCTGAATCATAAACTGGATTCTGACAACCTCCCCAGATGATCTGTGCTAACACTGAAGTCTGTGTTTGAGGCTGAGAAGCCCTGCTTTCGAATATGAACTTTTAAGGTGGGTAGGCTCCAGCCTTTACTGTACCCAACACCCTACCTACCTCCTCAGAGTTGATCGACTATTAGTCATTCAGGGCATGCTGCATAGGAAATAAATGACACATTCAGTGGAAGAATGCCTGGGTTATCTCTGGCCAAGTGGATAAAGCTAGCTGTTACCTGCATGCAGCACAGCAGCAAATCCAGACCAGATGCCCCCTGTATGTTTCTTCAGTTGAGATGGAATGCTGGGCAATAGAGACATCTAGCACTCCAGTCATCCCTGGATTTACTGTAACGTTTTGGAAGGTCAAATAATGCCAGGGCAAGCAGAACACAGATTATGCACGTGGTTTCTCAACACAGATTATGCACTTATTCTCAACGTGGGTTCAAGACAAGCTCTGCTCAATTGGTTCCCATGTGAATTCAAGCCGATTCCCTTCCCTCCTGAGATCTTGCTTCGTTGTCTTGGTGTTGTTCGCAACCCATTCAGAAACGAATTAAGTTTCAGGACCAGAGCATGGCTATGCTGAGGTGGTATTGTTTTAATGACTTAAATTCTCTGAATAAAAGGGGCATTATAATTTGCTTCTGAAATTGGCTAAAAGTCAGTTTTCATCAAAATATTTCTGGACCAACATTACTTTCTGCAAAACCAGGGTATTGTTTGAAAATCAACAAAGAGGGCTTAAGTAGGCCATGGAAAATGTATTGATAATCTGGCTCTATTAATCCTGTCCTCTAACAGAGTGTGAAATTGCTTGTTTACCCCACTTATCTGGTGCTGGAGGTAGCTGATCACTGGTTGGCAGAGCCGCGTTTTGTGGTCACCTTTCAGCAGTGAGCTTCTTCAGCTGTGCCAAAACCAAACTGATTTCACTGACCTCTGTACCATCTCAGAAGTCAAGGTCAAGATTGACATTACCTTGGGGCTTAGGCACAGGAACCAAGGACCCGCAGTCAGTCTATCAGGGACTTTCAGTTTTGTATGGGCAGAGAGCATTCGATGAAGGCCCTAACTCTAATTGTGGAAAATAGAGAGCTGTGCTGGTTTGTTCCCCATCCACGTATCCCCACGTCTTCCTTTGATACAATTCCCCACCGATGTGGGTTGAGGCTAATTTCATCAGGAGTTCATAAATATTGTCAACAGGAACACCAGCCGGTAGGTCTACAATAAAGTACAAGAAGCCATCCCCACACTAAAGGAGCTGGATTTCCTTTTAAAGTGCTGCTTTGCTGTGAGCACGGCTTGTACACTCTTGCATATGCTGAGATATCAGTTCGTTAGTGCTGCATAGCCACATGACCTCCTTTTAGCAGCTTAAATGAGCTAAAACATATTTATTAGACCGATTCAAAACATAGCTATTAGCTCGCAGTTTCTGTAGGCCAGGAGTCGGGCCAGAATTTAGCCAGGTCCTCGGTTGTCCTAATTTCTTCATGCTCTATTTCCCCCCAGTTCTGGGCCTTGGCGACCTCCGCTCAGGAAGAGCTATGCCACATAGAGCGTTATTATTTTCTATTATCGACTTGTTGGCCGCAATCTACCTTACTATCAGAAAGTAATACCAGAAAGCTGTTTCTTGTGCTGTGTTAACTGTGCAAAGGCGTTCTCCTGGGTGAGTCATAGCAAACTCAGGAGAACATTGTGAAGAGCTGTCAATCCAGAACACTTCACCGTGTTCCCCAGAACCTGTCCCTGGAAAAAGAGGCAGTCGTCCGATCAGAGCGAGGGAATGGTCAAATGAAAAAACTGCTTCGCTGATTGGATTCTTCGTCCACGGACAGAGTGGAACCGCCCTGTGGGTTTTCCAATGCTGTGCATCTTTAGGAGCGAAGAAAGCCTCGTTTTTCTCACCTGGGAAGGCTGCCATATTTGAAATCAGGAAAGATGTGTGCGCAGGCTGTATCTTTTTACCATTCTTATTTAATCTGGGGGCAGAGCAAGTACGTCTGAGAAAGTGGAGCATTGGGAATGGAGAAGGACTTGGTAACAACCTGTGATATGCAGACGCCACAACCTGGCTTGCTTGAAGCAAGGAGGACTTGAAGCATTTACTGGTGATGATCACATTGTAGCCTTCAGTGGGAATGACGGCTCACTGTAAAGAAAAGCAAAGTCCTCACAACGAGAGCCATGATAAACAGAGCCAATATTCAAGTTGTCAAGGATTTATTTCGTCGTATTAGATCCACAATCAATGTGCACGGAAGCAGGAGGCAAGAAACCAAAGGGCGTACTGCATTGGGAGTATATGTTGCACAAGACCTCTTTAAAGTGTTAAAATGCACGGTTGTCCCTTTCAGGACTAAACCACCTGTGACATAAGCCAGGCCATGTTCCGTCACCTCCTATGCGCGTGAGAGTTTGACAAGGATAAGGGAGGACACAGAAGAATCCATGCATTTGAATCATGATACTGGGGGAGACTACTGACAGCACTACGGACTCCCAGAAGAACAAACAGAGTGCTCCCTGGGATCGAAGATGGCAAGACTC